AAACACAGGGAATCCAGGGCGGATGATCCCTTCAGGACCAGTGGTGTGAGTGGCGATACTGGGAGGGTGGAGGGAGGGTGGGTTGCAAAGGGGGAACCAATTACAAGGATCTACATATGACCTCCTCCCTGGGGGACGGACAACAGAAAAGTGGGTGAAGAGAGACGTCGGACAGGGCAAGATATGACAACATAATAATTTATAAATTATCAAGGGTTCGACAGGGAGGGGTGAGCGGGGAGGGAGGGGGAAAATGAGGAGCTGATGCCAGGGGCTTAGGTGGAGAGGAAATGTTTTGAGAATGATGAAGGCAATGAATGTACACATGTGCTTTACACAATTGATGTATGCATGGATTGTGATAAGAGTTGTATGAGCCCCTAACAAAACGATTTAAAAAAATTGGAAGGATGGCGTAGCACAGGGTGCTGTCCCAATGACTCAGAGGCACCCAACAACGCTGTCACATATGCCCACTCTCTGTGAGGTCCCTGAATGGGTTCTCCTCCTGCTGTGGGAAGATTCGGATTCTTCAGCATTCATAAACACCTGGCTGAAAGCACTGCAGTGTTTGGACAGTGTATTCTTTAACGAGTCCCTAAGAGTTGAAGGCATGGTGTTGTGGCAGGCAGGGAGCCTAGACCTGGCCGCCTAGTCTTTAAACGGACCTATCCTGACCGAGCAGTTTACTTGTCGTTCCTGGTTAGGGACCTCCCTATATTTTATCCTGAGCCTTATGTTTGAGGTCCACGACCAATAAATAAAACTTGCCAGCGAATCTATCCCAACTCATATAGGCTCTGTAGGATGGAGCAGAACCACCCCTCCGGGTTCCAAGATGTAAATCTTTACAGGAACTGAAAAGCGTCCTGTTTCCTGAAGAGGCAGCTCGTGGATTCAAACTGCTGGCTCTGTGGTGGGCAGCCCAAGATTATTCCTCTGTGACACCAAGACTCCTTTAAAAGCCCTGTGCTTTGTCTCCGAGGACTTACAAGTGCAGCTAAAATAGATTTATAACAGTTCGCCAACATGGCAGATTACACGGTGTTTTGCAATGTATTGTTTCATATGGCTCTTCTATTTAATGCAACCTTGCCGAGGTGGTTGGTCAGTTGTACCATCCCACTAAGCTTAAAATAAGTCATCCCTGAAACTGGAGTATCAGGACCACGAAGAGGAAGGGTGGAAATTTTCATTTGGACCAGGATCACTGTGTTGGGAAACTTCTTGACCCAGGAGACAAATAACCTAGACTACCTTGCTAAGACAATGAAAAACAAAACAGTTGATTGGAGGTGGTGGCAGAGAAACAGCACCACTTAAATCTGGGTGGAGATCCTGTGGTGACCCTCTGAACATGAAAACGGTGTCTCCTGGCAAGATACTTGGCTGGAGGTGTCAGGGCCACTGAAGATTGGTTTGCCCATTCATGGAGTTAGATTTCAGCACCTTTGCGCTGAGACTTACTCGTGGAGTGCACTGTCTCCGAGGACTTACAAGCACAGCTAAAATAGATTTATAACAGTTAACCAATAGGGCAGTAGTCAAAGGCCTAAAGGGCTTGACATACTATTGCCCAGAGAGAGGTCTGTTTGGACATTGTGGAGAAGAGCTTGTCTTGATTGAAGAGTGCTGATCCTGAATGGTAACCAAGTGTTACTGATAAGCCCCATAGGTTCGAATCCCATGTTTCTGTATAACCATTGCAATGTTCTTAAACCCAGCAAAGAAATACAAAGTGCCATGGGAGGAATGTCAAGGCTCCAAATTGGTAAAAAGTTTGCACGATGAAGGTGTGCCTGATTTTGCTTCATAGCTGTCACCTGGACTGTTCATCTTGATCCTGCCCGCCTCTAATCTTGTTGCTGTGTTGTACAAAGCAGCCCAAGCAAAAGTATTTGCTTCCCTAACAACCACACCCACTGCCTATACTAAGGGACAGGCTTCAAATTTCTACTAC